ACCAGGGGCGACAGAGGAGAAGAGTCCAGTTAGTGTCTTAGGGACCTGTTGTGGAGGTTGGATCAGACGCCTTTCATTGACAGTGTGTAGTGTGTGTGGGTTTTTTTTGCAACAGTGTAATTTCACTTGGGGACCCTCAAGTGCACACAACAAATTCCTCCATAATGTGGCTTAAATGCTTCAAAAAAATATGTTCCAAAATTGTGTTGACTATCTCTGATAGCTCTAAATCAAAGTATGGTAAGTGTGTTTTTTTCCACTTTGGTTCTGTAACTACCCGAGTGAAGCACCTGAGCGAGGGCTGCTGCGTGTAAGGTGTTGAAAGGTCCAATCAGAAGGCAACCTGAGATCTGTGACTCTCTGCTGCTCAGACAGGTACAGTTACAGGTGAGTGTGCTCAGTGAAAGTGAGGAGGAAGTTCTCTTAATAGAGTCTTTTCTCTGGTGCTCGCTAATCTGCAGCCATCCAGCCGACCTGCTGATAATCAGACGACGGTACTCGTCCTCATGGCGTCATGTCCTGCTGATAAGCTCCGATCTCTGACCCAGTGACCCCGAAAAGAGAGCACAGATCAGAGTGAAGTGACGAGTCAAAGAGTCAAAGTAAATCTAACTATACTCTTATTGTATGTATCTCTGCGTGCCTTTCGGTTTCATGTTTTGTGCGACGACAGCGTGCAGAAACATGCATCATCGTGTGTCTATGGCGTCAATACTTCATGGTGATATTGAACACGGCGTAACTTTAGTTCGTTCTTATACAACACGGTGTGCAGAGAGTGAGAGGAGCTATGGATGACAGTGATGAGGTGGTTGATGTTTGTGGAAGCTGTCGTCACAGACTAATTACTGATGTGTGTGTGTGTGTGTGTGTGTGTGTATCCAGCAGGTAGCCTTAATTATTGTCTCTTCCTGTTATCATGCTGCTCCCCCCCATTGTAGACCCAAGCACTCCTCCTCTGAGTGTTTTATAATTCATGTTTCTCTGTATGTGTCGGGTTAAAACAGGGGTTTGTAAAAGATTAATCTCTAAGAGACACAACTGAACAGGAAAGAGCGCTGACAGAACCACGTTGGTCAAACTCTTTATTTTAACTTAAAAAGCTGCTCATTGAACGGTTATTCCAGCCACAGAGGAGTTAAAAGGGAGCAATGCATGTGGCTTAAGAGCCTGATAAAGTCTGTTTTTTTGTTCCTTACAAGGTGGGGGATAAATCCAGGATCATACCTAAAACTTCCCCCGTGTTCAGGTCAAAGAAAAGTTCCCTGAAAGTGAGTTTGTGACAGAAACACTTGAAAGAACTGTAGCTGAAGTAAAAAATAAAGGGGCCAATTGGAGCCCAAATGAGTGCATGACGGATCCTTTAAAGTCGCACAAACAGCTCGACGACAACAGAGACACTGTTTGCTCTGCAGTGCAGTCAGGGGAGAATTTAACCCTTTGCGTGTGTTTTATGAATTAGCCTCATTTGCACACGTTTCACAGACGGAAATCTTAACAATCCTCAGGACCTGAACTTCCAGTTATGATAATCAGGAAATATCACATCTCTCTGATGTTCACCCCAGATTCAAGTTGAATTTTTCAATTTAACCACTCGTGTATGCTCCGTATCATGATAACATGCCAGGCCTTAAAGTGAGAGAAACACGTGTAGTGACTGTGGTGGTCCAGCAGTTTTATAGAGAGCCAAAGTCATGACATCACTTCCTGTCTGGTTCCTGTTCCACTACCTTCTATAACAATCTTTTCTCTTATTATGTTTATGATTGAACTTCAATACAAGCTTCTGTTTGAAATATAAAGCAGATAAAAACTAAGTCACAACTCGTACAAATTTCTTCCAGCACAGCTCTGTGGTTATTCATCTTTTCTCAATCTACAGAACCACCTGTGCTCTCTTCTGACCAGCTGACCTGCTGTTTGTGCATTTGAGTCAAACATCTTAAAATTCCTTATGGAACAGAATCTGGAGGTTTGAGTTTCACTTTGGCTCTTTATAGATCTGAATATTGATGTTTGGATGAAAAGCATCGTAGCTGTAGGTGACCATAAACGCCTCTTCTCAGCTCCAGTCCGGGCTAACTTCTTATTGCGCCCAACAGTCGGAGAGGAGCATTTCAGAAGTCCTCCCCCCCTCTTTGTGCATCATGGACACTTTTTTTCGCCGTCACTTTAAGAGGAAGGAATCTGCTCTACAGGTGGATGCAGAAGGTAAAAACGTCCAGCGGAGGCCCAGTGTGGCCATCCCAACCAGCAAAGCCCGCCGGAGATCTAGCGTGGGGCTGCCCTCCTCCACCCTGACCCAGAGACGGCGCTCGAGTGTCCAGCTGCCAGGGGGGGGGCCAAGTGCAGGAGGGGGGCGTCTGGCAAAGTCATCCAGAGACAAAAGGTGGTCAGGACACACTCGCAGGCGGTCCAGCACCACCACCCCTAACCACAACCCGAGGTTTGCCGTGTGCAGGAAGAAGGTGGGGAAGCTGCGGACCATCGACACCCACCTGCTGGGGCCGTCCATGCTGCTGGCCAGTCTCATCCAGATGGCTGAGGAGGAGGAGGAGGAAGAAGAGGAGGGCATCGGGGCAGGGCTACTGGCTGGAGAACAGCAGGTGGAGGTTAGGGGCGGGGTCAACAACAGGAGGAGGATGTTTTCACGCTCCAGCAGCCTCCACTCAGATGGAGATGAAGACATCAGCGATTATTCAACCGCCAACAACAGCCAATCAGAGGAGAGCCAGCTGTCTGAGGCGGAGCAGGTGGCCGAGGAGGGCGACAACACCTCCCAATCTCCTGATCTAGAATTCTCCTCCTCCCCCGCCCTGGAGATGATCAGAAAAACTCCCAAGCCTCCATCATCGTCCAGGCCCCTGATCCGGGCCCCACGATGCCTCCGGAGGAACTCCTCTCAGGTGTATTTGGGTGACTCTGCTGCTTATAGCCGCCGCCGCGCCTCCAGCCAGAGGAAGAGGAGGAGGATTTCCACCATCTCCAAAGCTGGGAGCCCCTGGCCCGGGAGAGGCCCCCCACTGCCCTGCCGCAAGAGCTCAGTGTACTACTTTAACCACCCGGGCTTCTACAGGGGCCCCGGGGCCCTGAGCCCACTAGGAGCCCACGGCTACGACGCACACCTGGAGAGCTGGAGTAGCTTCCTGCTGTATGTAGTATATCCAACGTGACGGCTTATGTTAGCTTAGCTACATGTATTTTTATTTGATGTATTCTGGCTTCACTACCAGGACAGGGCGACTGTTGCCCTGTCCATCTCAATATACTGTCTGTGGTTTACATCCACTACTTTTTAAGCACTCAAATATATTTGCTTTTGACAACCGGCTGAGAACACATCCTTGCCTTTGAACAACATGTGTTACTGTAGCATTCCTCTAGAGGGAGCAGCACATAAATCAGACGCTGCAAAACACCGAAAGAAATGATCTGTCGCCATCAATTTTGGCACGCATGTTTTTGCGATGCATCAGAGTGCGGGTAGTTGCAGATTTGATCTGTTAACTTTTCTTCTCAACTTTCCACCGTTGTTGTAGCGGCTCTCTGCTGTCTCCGATGTTGTCACATCCGGTCTCATCACCACAAAAGTCCACACTGCTCCAAGTGGTTGTTTGTATAATGCATCTCATGGACGTGTAGCGTTAATTTCTGAGGATGTGTACAACGTGCGTGTACATGTGGTTAAAAGCGAGTACTCAGGGCTTTAGAAGTCATATTTTATGTGTTTCAGTCTGAATAATCCTTCGACTGTTTCTGTAAGATCAGGTTCAGGTTCTGGTGACTTTATTTGGACCTGAAGGTAGATTTGTTCACAGCCAGCAAGATCAACATCCATCACGACACACAGATTACTGAACAGGTTCCACCAATCAGGGCGTTTAGGAGAGAGAAGTCTCCACCAATAAGATCAATAAAAAACACATAAATAAATAAATGTGTGTTTGTGTAAATATGGCTCCTGCTTGTTCAGTTCTGTGATGGCAGCGGGAACAACATCGTCCCACTTAGTTCTTCACCTTGGGACTAAAACCCTCCGCTCAGAGGGAGGAAGCTGAAAACCAGCGGCAGTAAGGTGATGATGATTATAAGTTTAACCCTCGGTGGTCTTGTTATTAACTTTACATAGACTGAATTCGATATACCTTCAGGTTTTGGGTAAGCAGCACTGGGACAACTTCTGCTGTGCGCCTCAGATTCCCTGATAGCATGACGTTCAGAGTCTGAACAACTCGCTGATGTTGAGTTTGTTAGCAACATTAAAGATCGACTTAACGATGAGTGTGACATTCTGCTGCACACACAAACACTCTCCATGGAGCTTCGGCTCATTAGCAGACACGTCGGGGCGAATCCTGCTCATCACAGCGGCTCTGTTGCTAAGGTCAAGTCATGACGGTGTGTTGGTGCGTTTCATTATCTGCATGCTGGGGCCGACGAGTGACGTGACCATGGTCAAACACCTTCAGAGCACACAGGGAGGGTGGGAGGACGGATATCATTCACACCACGATGAGAAGAATGCTTCTTATTGGCTGAGAGGCATCTACTGAAACTATACTGATAACCAAACAGAGGTCGCTTTCTTCATGCTTGGCTGCAGGTTACCATAGCAACGACATTAATGACCTGCTGCAAACTGAGGTTTAAACCTGATAAAAAGAATAAATGTTTAATTTTATCGGTTCATTTGGCGAGGTGTTGATCAGAAGCCAAGAGAAATAATAAGCTTCTGAAAGTTTCTTTTTGTCCTAAGTGAACTTAAAACTAAGTGAATTATAAATTAATGTTTGAATTGGTCAACGTAGGATTTGAAACATTTTCCTGGATGGAGCTGGTGCCCTGCAGCTGTGTGGAAACAAACTCCTCATTGTTTACAGGCAATTAAAAAAAACATGATTAAAACCTCAAAATCAAACTTTGGGAGATGCTAAAATAAAACCTTTCAGATTAACGTTGACGCTGTTTCCTTAAAACTGCTTTTGTCGTGGTTTCAGGAAAGCTTTGGCGAAGTCTGGCCTGCAGAACGTGGGGACGCAGCCAAACGTGTTGACCTCCGGAGAGAGCGACCCTCTGCAGGAACCAAACAGCAATGTGGACTGGAGTGTGAGTCACTTTTTTAAGATTGTATTAATAGGTTTGTATTTACCCAAAAGGTTGGGTTGTCATGGTACCAGAATGTTAATCTTCCAGTTCCATTTCTGTTTTGATACCACAGCAACAAAATTCAAAGTCAGAGACAACCATTAATGCATGATTTATTTTTTTAATCAACAAAAGCTGCAGGCAAACTCCTACCAGATGTCTGTATGTACATTTTACATTGCCAGCATATTTGTGCAATTCAGACAATTTGCCGGAGTTTGTCTGCAGTTTCTGATGGATTTATGTCTCTCCTACATGACTGAAAGTACTTTAAATGTTTGACGACTTTCTTAGTGGCTGGGTTTGTGTGCTCTCTGAATAACAATTCAAATGTTTGTGTTCATCTTTAGTTGAACATGTTATTTAGTTTCCTCAGACAGGATCATTCCTGTGAAAATGTTTTGATGGATGACTTTGGTTGCAGGATAATGCTCAGTTCGGGGACCACATCTGGTTTGAGACCAGCGGCTCTGGAGACTTCTGTTACGTTGGAGAGCAATACTGCATCGCTAAGTCACTGGTGAGTGAGTCACAGCACCCCCTTTGGTCAGGAACACCACACATTCATCTCAGTACTACAACCATACTTTTATCGAACTGCTGAAAAAGCTATCCATGAAAATAATACAACGTATTGTTAAAGTTACCAAAATATGCAGGCAAACTCACTAAAGATGGTCTAAATTGCACAAATACATGTGCAATATTTTGGCACAGAGACATTGCCAATTGAGGGTGCATTCACTCCTGAGCTGTTTGGTACATTTGTAACGAACTCTGGTGCTCTTTTGTCGCTTGACACGCTTGAAATCGATCTTGGTTCCAAGTGCACCAGAGTTTGGTTCCGAACCAAACAAGGGAAGTAAACCATCAGCAGTGCATTGTGGGTTGAATTTGGCCATCTGTAAATGATGTCAGAAAGGTTTTCAGAGCGTGGCTAACATTAGCATTGTTAACATCACCAGCTTTAAGTCCTCCTTACGGGCTAACATCCAAATGTGGTTGCACATCGCTCCGGTCAATGTGCCAGTTTAACCCGACACAGCTGAGATAAAACTTTCCATTTAATAGATCAAAATACTGACAGACTGCGCCTCGCTACAGGACACCATTCTTCCACTGTCCTGTTGTTTGGGGTCATAGCTGAGCATTAGGCCGGAGGGCAGCAACCATGGACCAGAGCTGCAGCCCCAACTAGTGGCGGGTGGCTACAGTACATAACAGGCTTTGGTGCGCTTTACAAAGAGCAGTCTGAAGGCAAACAGAACCAAATGAACAACACAACAATGATGGAACTTCACCGCTAAATCGCACGAGTCCACCGGACTTCATATGTGAAAGAGACTTAAGACAGTGCTCTCTCTCTTTCGCTCGCAGAAACTTTAGATCATGAATTTGAATGAAAACTAAAGTTTGTTGGAAGTTTGAGTATTTTTTTATATTATGGAACATATGGTATCATTTTGAATCACCAGGTATTGAAACTTCTCTACCATCATTTTCTATTTACTATCTTAATGAAAGCGTTGTTACCAATCAGGAGGTATCATAATGAAATCAATCTGGTGTTATTTTGCAGCAAAAGTCGGTGGCGAGGAAGAAATGTGCTGGCTGTAAGATCTCTGTTCACACCATGTGTATGGAGCAGCTGGAGAAGGTAAACTGTGGATTGACAGCTTTAATCTGGTGTTTTATTCTCCATGCTCACAGTCTCTCATTCGCTCTGTTCAGATTAATTTCAGGTGCAAGCCGTCGTTTAGGGAGCCAGGATCCAGAGCTGTTCGAGAGGTACGTCTCTGTTTAGATCATTCATGATGAATTTAACCAAATCTTTAATGAAACTGTTGGTGAATAACTGTCCTGTTTCAGCCCAACATGGTGCGACACCACTGGGTCCACAGGAGGCGTCAGACAGGGAAGTGTCGACAGTGTGGGAAGGTAAGCCCCCATCATCCCTCGAAGATTTTATTGAAAAAAGGATGAAGAGCCGGGAAGCTTACTGAGTGTTTTATTTGATCTCCTGCAGGGATTCCAACAGAAGTTTTCATTTCACAGCAAAGAGATTGTCGCCATCAGCTGCTCGTGGTGCAAACAGGCCGTAAGTAGCAAAGTCATATAGCTGATAGAAGACAACCAATACATCCATCATCCATCCATCAGTCCATCCCAGTCCATCCATCCATCAGTCAATCAGTCCCTCATTCATCCATCCATCCATCCATCAGTCCATCAATCATCCATCCATCCATCCATCCACCCATCCATCCATCCATCCATTCATTCATCCATCCATCCATCAGTCCCTCAATCATCCATCCATCCATTCATTCATCCATCCATCCATCAGTCCCTCAATCATCCATCCATCCATCCATTCATTCATCCATCCATCAGTCCCTCAATCATCCATCCATCCATTCATTCATCCATCCATCAGTCCCTCAATCATCCATCCATCCATTCATTCATTCATTCATTCATTCATCCATCCATCAATCCCTCAATCATCCATCCATCCATCCATCCATCCATTCATCCATTCATTCATCCATCCATCCATCCATCCATCCACCCATCATTCAGTCAACTCTGTGAGTTCACAAATTTATAATAAAAGCTTTCTCAGGATATTTTTCAAACGGAGCAGGTTTGGACTGACTCTTTGCTCAAAGAACAGAATTTTTAGTTTTTATTGAAGCTGTCTCATAATTTTAAGCCCCCTCTTATGGCTTATTGTCACAGTGATGTCACTTCCTGTCTTGTTTCAGTACCACAACAAGGTGACGTGCTTCATGCTGCAGCAGATCGAGGAGTGCTGCTCTCTTGGAGCTCACGCCGCGTCATCATCCCTCCTACCTGGATCATCAGAGTCCGCAGAACACAGGTACATACACACACCTGGAGGACTTACAGAGTGTTAAAGACCCCATGCTGTAAGATAACCATCTCCCCTGTTCTCTCTTAGACACACACATGATTAACCACTTGGGCCGTCAGCGTTAACTGCCATGATATTAGGATGCGAAATCAGCCAATTCATTCCATTACAGTAATCGCATGATTCTTTGTCCTTGTTCCCTGTACTTAAGCCACCGCTGCGTCCAAGTTCCTTAGTCCATGGTTAAGTTAAGGTGGGAACTTTTGATCTACCCTGAGTTCCTTTTTCGAGTTCTTTCAATTAAAAGCAGGTTGATGTCCAAACAGGAGATATCCTGGCTTAAGACGTTCCAAAAATACAAAATAAAATCATAAGAAAAACAGTTTAGAAAACATAAATCATCTGACGGCTCTAACGACCACTGATGTTGTTCGTCTTCCTCTCTGCAGACGTCTCTAAAGTCGAGTAAAAAGAAGAAAAGGACGTCGCTGAAATGCAACAAGTCAAGCAAGAAGGGAGCAGAGGTGAGACCCCTTCAATCAAATCTTGAGACTTCAAAGTCTGTAATAGTGTTCAGTATAGTTCATTAAGGGTTATTAGTAAAGATCATGTCATGAGGCAGGCTGAGTATCACCACATTTGTTAATGTGTCAGACTTCTGGGTGTTTCTCTTCCGTCTCTCAGGTCCAAGATGGCCGCTGGAAGCCCTTCCTGTTGAAGCCCCTCCCCTCTCAGCTCATGAAGCCTCTGCTGGTGTTTGTTAACCCAAAGAGTGGAGGGAACCAGGTGATATAATGATGTCCCGACATGCCAGGTGTGCACTCGTGTTGTTCTTCTCTCCTCACACTCTTCTGTTCTGTTTCAAACCTTCAGGGAGCGAAGATCATCCAGTCCTTCATGTGGTACCTGAACCCTCGACAGGTGTTTGACCTGACGAAGGGAGGACCCAAAGAGGGGTGAGCTTACGATGCAACACCATCACATCATCACTGCAGTGTAACACAGAAACTGACAAAGAGACAGCTCTCTATGTTTAGAATTTGGACTGCAGTACCCATTTTAAACACTAGGTGTCAGAGTTACATATTGTTCCTTTAATTGTGCCTTCTTATAATATCTAAGACAGCTGTTGTCATTAAAACTGAGATAACTTTAGTTCAAGTTTCTCCAGCATCTCCTCGGCTCTGTACATTTGCAGTAAAGTGTCGGTTCAAATCTCGTGTTTCTTATCTGCCGTTGTCTTTCTGCAGGTTGGAGCTGTATGCCAAAGTGCCCAACCTGAGGATCCTGGCCTGTGGGGGAGACGGGACGGTGAGTCCAACTTTATGTATCACACACTGATCAACACACAAAGTCATACAGTAACACACTTTCATCATCTAAAGAGTTAAACTATCCTGATGTTTCTCACAGTGCTTAGATTCTTTGTCTGCTCTGAAATTCAGATCTTTGTAATCCAGTTAAAAAAATTAAAAATGTGGATTTTAATATATTGTATATTAATATTATAATATCAAAACAATATAAAATGTCCAACTCAAAGCAGTACCCCTGATTAAGATTAAAAATGTGAAATGTATTAACTTTGGGCACTTTGGGGAGTCCCCAGGAGATGATTACCAATAGTGACACTGATGGCTGTTTAATGAACTGCAGTTAGCATGCTAACATACAGCGTTTTGATTGATCTCAATCAGCTCGTTAGCCAGCTAATGGCCATTTCCATTATGTGTTAGCCTCAAGCTAACAAGCTAAATGTACATTCCGGTACATCTGGGAGAAATGGCATCCCCTCCCTGAAGAATAATGCACCAACCACCAGTGACTACGTTGCCATGTGTGTGTGTGTGTTCAGGTGGGCTGGATCTTGTCAGTGTTGGACCAGTTGAAGCTCCGCCCTCAGCCCCCCGTGGGAATCCTTCCTCTGGGGACGGGGAACGACCTCGCCAGGACCTTGAACTGGGGAGGGGTGAGATTTCCTGAAACACATTTCGGACAGAAAATAAAATGCTGGAGTATTTCACAGCCAGTGTTTTGTCCTTTATGCCTAGATAAATTAAATATTGATCCTCCTCTTCCTCCAGGGTTACACTGATGAACCGATCACAAAGATCCTCTCTCACGTCGAAGACGGAAACATCGTCCAGCTGGACCGTTGGAACCTGAACGTGGGGCAAACCCTGAGGCTCGACCGGAGGACCAGGACGAACACCAGACAGACAAGGTCAGACCACCTGTCACAGGAGAGTTTATTTCATGAGAAGCTTCTAGACATCCTGTCTGTTTCCTTATCCTTTCTGATACTTCCTGTTCCCCAGCTTCCCATCGACGTCTTCAACAACTACTTCAGTCTGGGCTTCGATGCTCACGTCACACTGGGCTTCCATGAATCCAGAGGTCAGTCTACGTGTAGTTCAACAGAATCACAATCTGAACTAAAGAGTGGAGAAGAACATACTGGAGAATAAAAAAACTGTAATGCCGTCTGATGAGAATCAGAAATTTTACGTACTTGTTGAATGTTTTTGTGTTATTCTTTCAGAGGCAAATCCAGAGAAGTTCAACAGTCGCTTCAGGAACAAGATGTTCTACGCAGGGGTGAGTGTCCTTGCCGGTCTCTTTTCTTAACTCGGCTTTGTAGTGGGGCGTACTCTAACCAGTATACAGAGGAGTTCAGGTGTGTGAAGGTCAGGACACAGCTGTTCCTCACAGGGAGCTAAGACAGGGTAGTTAGTAACGTGGTCTCAAATCCCACCAGAGGGAGGAAAGTTTCTTTATAGGATTTAAATGTTTGTAACGCTCAGTGTTTGTGTGTTTGTGTCTCAGACAGCCTTCTCAGATTTCCTCAGCGGGAGTTCCAAAGACCTCGCCAAGCACATCAAAGTGGTGGTGAGAAGAAGAGTTCAAAAACACCATCATCTTTCTTTTATGTATACATAAGTCTGTTTACATGTATAAAACTGTTTCCTCTCCTCAGTGTGACGGGACAGATCTGACTGCCAAAGTCCAGGAGATGAAGCTTCAGTGTCTCCTCTTCCTCAACATCCCCAGGTATGCCGAGGCAGGGCCAAAACAAGCTATGGCCTTAAAAACTAAATTTTCCAACTTTATTCTTTAAGTTAAGTTATATCACATGACGATGCTCCGTACAGGTGTACCAGTACAGGTGAATCCGTACCGATGTATCAGTTCAGGTGCATCAGTTGCAGGTGTATCAGTACAGGTGAATCCGTACAGGTGTATCAGTACAGGTGAATCCGTACCGATGTATCAGTACAGGTGTATCAGTAACAGGTGAATCACTACAGGTGAATCAGTAACAGGTGAATCAGTACAGGTGAATCAGTACAGGTGAATCAGTACAGGTGTATTAGAAACAGGTATATCAGTTACAGGTGTATCAGTACAGGTGTATCAGTAACAGATGAGTGTCTTGCAGGTACTGTGCTGGCACGACGCCGTGGGGTCATCCTAGTGAGCACCAGGACTTTGAACCTCAGCGCCATGACGACGGCTGCATTGAGGTCATCGGATTCACCATGACCAGTCTGGTGAGCTCTGTCTGTGTGGTCACCTGTGTTTTACCTGTGTTCACCTGTGTTAAGCTTTATTTACTTATTAAACTTTGGAATTCACTGCTTTACATTTACTACCTGCTTTACCTGTAGTTTGCCTGTCACCTGTGTTTATCTGTGCTTACCTGTGTAATACAAGTGTATTTACTGTTTTCTTTTTAGTTTTACCAATGTGTTACCTGCGTCTTACCTGTTTTTACGTTTTTCTCATTGTGTATGACCAGTTTATGCCCTGAGGTCATTGTTTACCTGTGTGTTTATTGTATCTAGGCCACGCTGCAGGTGGAGTCACGGCGAGCGTCTCCATCAGTGTAAAGAGGTGACCCTCACCACCTTAAGTCCATCCCCATGCAGGTGGACGGGGAGCCGTTAAACTGGCCCCTCCATCATCAACATCAACCTGAGGAACCAAGCCAACATGGTGCAGAAGGCCAAGAGGAGATCTCCATGCCTCACCTGAACGAGTACGAACACTTTAAGCTCAGAACAGGCTGTTTCTGTTTGTACCTTTAAATGTTAAATGAGCTGTGTCTGACCACGCCCCCTCTCTGAAGGCTTGGGTGTCTCGGTCTTCTCGCTTCATGTCCTATGTTTACGGTAGAAGGCAAACTCAGAGGGCAGAACAAACACCTAGCTCTGGGAGTGTCACCCATCTGGGGAGGGTTACTGCCCTTTGTGATCATGAAGGAAATGTTCCAAACTGCCTGTTGAGCACACATTTTCTGAAAAGTGGACAGCAGAAGACAGAGGATGACTTTCTTAATAGGGTTTGTAGACAGACTACAACACATATAGAGTTAGAGAAACATGTGAAGTGGATTTTCGAGAATATGAGACCTTTAACGATATATATACTGTATATATAACAGAGATACTGAATATTATGGTACATATCTCCATGCCTTGCCTCATGAGTACTAATACTGGATATTCTACCTCCTTTTGTGTGTGTGTGTGTGTGTGTGTGTGTTGCAGCCAGCAGCCCGTCCCTGAGAAGCTGCAGATCAGAGAACAGGATCAGCATGGCGGCGTATGAAGCTCTGCACTATACAAAGACCAGCTGAAGAGGCCTGGATCAGCAAAGGGTAACTGTCACATTTATATGTATACGAACTACAACTTTTATTTTCTCATGTAAATACAAAAATATTCATACAAACCAAAGTTTATTCGGTGAAGATTTTAGATATTCCATTTCATAACCTCAGAAAACTTTATTAATCCCAGAGTGCAATTTGTTTTTACATTTATATGTATACGAACTACAACTTTTATTTTCTCATGTAAATACAAAATGATTCGATACAAACCAAAGTTTATTCGGGTGAAGATTTTAGATATTTCCATTTCATAACCTCAGAAAACTTTATTAATCCCAGAGTGCAATTTGTTTTTACAGTCTTCCCGTACATATGAACATTCACAAACAAACAGCAGAGTGTTTCAGAGACACTTACATTAGGACGTTGATAGAGATGCTCACTGGAACTCTAGCATCCTCGTGTGGCCTCATAGGTAATGACACACTCGAGGGCCGGGCAAGGTTCAACTACACAGTTAAAATGAAAAGAATAAGAATAATAAGAAATTCAACTAATAATAATACATTTTATTTAAAGATGCCTTTCAAAACACTCAAGGTCACCTTACAAAGCAGAGATAAAAACAACAAATTAACAACACATTGATAAAAAGAACATCAAAAAAGACACATTTACAGGATGTAGAGGAGACCTGATGGAGAATAGTCAGACTCAATATTTCCATTTAAAAAGATGTATTTTGAGATGTGATTTAAAAATGGAGAGAGAGTCAGTATTACGCATGTGTGTGGGAGGGAGTTCCAGAGGCGGGAGGGGCAGAGCGACTGAAGGCCCTGGACCCAGAGAGGTAAAGCAGAGCGAGGTTGTGGGCGGCCTTAAAGGTAGGGAGCACCATTTTGAAGTTGATGCAATATTTAACCGGGAGCCGATGAAGCTGCTAAAGGACAGGAGTGATGTATTGAACAGAGAAGGTTCTGGATAAATAAGGCCTGGACTCTTTACTCAGCAGCCTCTACCATAATTGTGTGAATGTGTATGAATGGATGATTAATACTGATGGACTCTTTACACAGCAGCCTCTACCATCAGTGTGTGCATGTGTATGAATGGATGAGTTAATACTGATGGAGTCTTTACTCAGCAGCCTCTACCATCAGTATGAATTTGTAGGTGACCTGCGGTGTAAAAGCGCTTTGAGTAATCAGAAGTCTAGAAAAGTGTGAAACAAACTCAAGTCCATTTACCATTAAACACTCATGCAGGACGAATAGAAAAATATTTAAAGAAAACGTACGGACACTTGTTTTTTTTGTGACGTGGTCTTTTTTGTGACGTGGTCTTTTTCTTTCTGCAGCAACACCGCTTGGTGTGATCACCGTCCCTGGAGACAGCGACCTGGAGACCTGCCGCTTACTGATCGAACGTCTCCATGACGACCTGGACCAGGTACCTTAAAATATTTATTTGAATGTGGAACACATTTTAAAGACACTGATGAAAGAATCAGTACAGCCTCAGTCCTGTTTGTCAGACTGGTAGAGACTGCAGCAGAAGGTTCAGTCACTTGTCGTGTTTCTCTCCGCTCCTTCAGGACGGGAGGAGATAAAGGGAGAGTGTGTGACCTCTCAGAGACTCTCCATGAAGTGGTGTTTCCTCGACTGTGAGTCCAGACTAACACACACACACAACACACACACACACACACACACACACACAAACGTTCAAACACTAAAACCTGATCTGTATGTTTTTAATTTCAGGTACGACTGCAGACCGTTTCTACAGGATCGACCGTGCTCAGGTGAGACAGCATTACAAGATACTCCTCTACACCTGGATGAAAAAACACAGAAACTAAAAGGATGCAAAAATGTTTTTATTAATCAAAATGATCTGATTTTATGTATTTCTTTTATTTTTCATTCATATGCAGTAATGTGGCCCAAACACACAGACTGTGTACTAAAGTCATGAAGACATATCTCAAGTTGACTTTAGCAGGAAACTTTTATACTGAAACTGCAAGTTATTCCCCAGAAAAGAGAATTCATTTTCAGATAACTTACTGAAATCAAAGTAACTGCACATTTTCCTGCTGATTGATGACATGATAAGTCGCCATGTCGTTCTCCTCCTAGTGTTGTAGTTCTCGAAATCTGTCTCCAGACCGGTCTCGAGACCACTTTCTGAAGGTCTCGTCTCAGCCTGGGCGACTCCAGATTTTAAATCAAGAACACCACTGAAGGACACGCCCCCTAAACACAAGATGATGATTTTTCACTGATATTTATGGTCTTGGTCTTGACTCGGTCTCCCCCTGCCTTGGTCTTGGTCTTGTCTCGGTCTCCCCCTGCCT